ATCACTAATTCTCTCTTCTGCCTCATTTATCCTAGCAGTTAGAGCCTCCATTTTTGACTGCACCTCATTAATAGCCTTTTTGATTTCCACTTGGTTAGATTTTAGTTCTTTTATTTCTCCAGAAAGGGATTCTGTAGTATCTTCTGTGCTTTTTTCAAGCCCAGATAGTATCTTTATAATCATTAATATGAACTCTAGTTCCTACATCTTACTAATGTCTGTACTGATTAGGTCCCTGCCAGTCGGTACTGCCTCTTACTCTTTTTTTTTTTGAGGTGAGTTTTTCCATCTTGTCATTTTGTCCAGGGGAGAATAGATGAATGAGAGAACAAAATAGCAGCTTATGGATATTAATTTATTTGTTGAGGGGAGAAGGCATAGTTTTGTAGTGACTCTCATTTATGGGAATGGCTTCATCCAGGATTATGCAGCATTCAGTTATAGCACCAGAGAAGACAGAGGGTGGGGGAGTCAAGTCAGTTCAAGACGGGTCGTTTTCTAGGGTTGGGTATGTATGTCTTACATAGGCTGGTGGGAGAAAGTTGAGGGTACTAGGAAGAAAGTAATTGAAGTAATTGGGGTTGAGGGCAGTAAGAAGAAAATGAGGAAGTGATTGGTATAATAAAATGGGAGAAACAAGGAGATTTTGGATACTGGAGAGCTTATGAGCCCAGAAAACAGCTGTTGTAACAATAAAGGGAAGGAGCTGAAGAGTTACTAGTTATTGAGATATTACAGCTCATGATTTTGTAGGTAGAGCAATTTACATATTGCTACTATCCATAGAAATGGGTTGCTTTGGTATAGGTGAAGGTTGTTGGGAGTTGAGGAACAAAAGGAACGCTGAAGGACAGGTTGAAGAGTGCATTGGTCTCAAGGACATTGGGAACCTGCCATAACAAGTCAGAGAATAAGTATGTATAGAAATTTTATAAACTGGTTCCAGGGGCACCTGGGTGGCTCAGTCGTTAAGTGTCTGCCTTCAGCTTGGGTCATGACCCCAGGGTCCTGGGATCGAGCCCTGCGTCTGGTCCCTGCTCAGCAGGAAGCCTGCTTCTCCCTCTCCCACTCCCCTTGCTTGTATTCCCTCTCTCACTGTGTCTCTCTGTCAAATAAAATCTTTAGAAAAAATAAATAAACTGGTTCCAGAGTCCTCAATGAATGAGGTAGCTAAAATACTGGGAAGACTAGAAGGTGGCATAGTTTGATGGTATATATCTGAAAGGAAACAGGACTTTTGATAAGTATACTTAAGTAATCATCTGAAGTGCTTATAGAGATTCAGGGCAATGCCCATTGAGGGTGGGAGAATGGGTCCTTCAAGGCTCTACAGGGCCAGCTGTGCTTCAAGGGGAAGAAGTTGGTGAGTCACAGTGGTTTTAGGGGATGACAGTATAGAAAAGAGTCATTGAAGAGAGGGGGTCATGGATGAACAGCGTAATAAGCATGCCAGCATAAGTTGAGGTCCAAAGAGGTTTTAGAAGCTTGAGAAAGTTAGCAGACTCCAATCTTTATTCAACCTTCTGTTGGAGTGTTGTGGAGAAATTGCTCTGGTGTCTTCAAAGAGAATGTTTTCTAGTTAGGAACCTTGGTTTCTATCTAGAGTTTTAATTGGTAGAACTGGAGAGACCTTGAGCAATTTGGGGAGAACAGATGTCCCTAGGATTTTGGAACAGGAATTAACCATATCCCTCAGTCTCATGAGAGGTAAGAACTCAGAATTTTTAGTAGGACTAAAATCACAGATTATTAAAGACTGCATGCTTGGCTTGAGGATGTGTTTGCTTTTTTGTTTTTTATTTCTTTTCTGCTTTTATAGCTCTTTTTCATCTGGCTTTATAGGGAGTTGAATTTACAGAACCCATAGAGGTTTTTGATACTTAGAACTGTGCCTGGAAAACAAATATTTATACATTATTATTATTATTACTATTATTACTACTACTACCAGTAATAGCATTATAACTTATTTATTAGGAACAAAGTTCTTTATTTCCCTGTGAAAGATGTTTTAAGTTTAAATTCGGAAGTTGTTGATCACTTAAGATTATTTTTTTTCTAAAGCTTTTTATCTTAGTGCTAGTGACATAGTATGGTATCCAAGCTTTCTGAGATTAGAAAAAAGAGGTAAAACCTGTTGACTTTTTTCTTCCTCTTTTGAAAATTTTAGGTTAACTTTACATATAATGAAATGTGCAAATTTTAAATGTACAGTTGATTGGATTTTGAGAAATGCATACACCTATGTAAACACTACCCCAGTTAGATAAGAACGTTTTTATTACCCGGAAGTTCCCTGGTGCCCCTTTGCAATCAGTTCACCAATCTCTCTCCCACCCCCTTTCCTAGGCAACCACACTGATCTGATTTCTATCACCATAAATTAGTTCTGTCTGCTTTAGAATTTTATATAAATGAAATTATATAGTGTGTAGTCTTTCATGTATAGCTTCTTTTGCTCACAAAGTCTGCGAGATTCATCCCTTTTGTTACAAAGTCTCAACAGTTTATTTTCATTGCTGAATAGTATTCTATTATATGAATATACCACAATTGGTTGTTAATTCATCTGGTGATGCACATTTGTATTATTTCCAGCTTTGGCTCTTCTGAATAAAAGTGTTATCAACATTCATATATAAATTTTTTTGTGGACATACGTTTTCATTTCTTTTGGGTAATGACCTAGGAATGGAACTACGGGTTCATAGGGTATGTGTATGTTAACTTTATACAAAACTGCCAGTTTTCCAAAGTAATTTAACATTTTCATACTCCCAGGAATGTGTGAGAGACACAATTGCTCCAACATGTTTGCCAACCTTCAGTAATTCTTATAGGTGGAAATGATATCTCATTGTTGTTTTAACTTGTATTTCTCTGATGATTAATGATGTTTGGCACCTTTTCATATGCTTATTTTCCATTTTTATATGTTTTCTTATGAGAGGTATGTTCACATCTTTTGCCCAATTTATTGAATTGTATTATCTCTTTTTAGTTTGTAGGAGATCTTTATATAATTTAGAAACAAGTCCTTTTTTTAAGAAAGTCGTGCTGTGAATCTTTTCTCCTAGTTTTTGACTTGAACTTCATTTTCCTAACAATGTCTTTTGAGGAGCAGAAGTTTTTAATTTTGATGATGACCAGTTCATCTGTTTTTTTCTCTTTTGGTTCATGTTTTGTGTGACCAGTCCAAGAAATCTTTATTTACCCTAGGTTGTGAAGATACTCACTACATTTTCTTCTAGAAGCTTTTATACTGTTATTTTTTTACATTTAGGTTTTTAATCTATCCCAAATCAGTTTTTGTGTGATATGTAAAATAAGGGTCAAGATTTTTCTCTCTTTACTTTTACCAGGTTTTGGAGTCCAGCTGGTGACAGAATATCCACACTAAGTTTTTATCTGTTTTGATCCTTTGTTTTCTGAAATAATATTAGTTTCCAACTATGATTGTGAGATCTCCATCTTGACCTCTGCATACCATGAGGTTTCAGGCTCACAGTATAGATTCAGTAATGAGATTTACATTTTGGTTGATCTCCCCTGTACCCTTTGCCTCCAGTGTGTGGAATATATATGTCATGCATTACTAGAGGGACACCTAGACACAACTTTAAATAACAGCAAATCAATTGAGAGAAAGTAACCCTGCTTTTAGTCATTCAGTTCTTTTGGATTGAGAAAGCCTCTATTTGATTCTTTACTTATTTCAAATACTTGCTAATACCCTCCCTCCCTTTTTGTAAGTAGTGAGATGGACTCAAGCTCACTCACTGCCTTGCTAGGCACCAGTGTTCAGCTAGAATTTAGTAATATTTTGCTTTCCTTTTAAGTGATTTTTTTTTTTTTGCTACCTTGTATTTTTTCACAATAATTACTAATTTTCCACTGAAGAGAGTGATTAAATTTTACCTTTAAAATTTTTGTTTTAAAGGGTGCCTGGGTGCCTCAGTTGGTTAAGCAACTGCCTTCGGCTCAGATCATGATCCTGGAGTCCCTGGATCGAGTCCCACATCGGGCTCCCTGCTCGGCAGGGAGTCTGTTTCTCCCTCTGACCCTCCCCCCTCTCATGTGCTCTCTCTCATTCTCTATCTCTCAAATAAATAAATAAAATCTTTAAAAAAAATTTTTGTTTTAAAAAATTTAATCGATTTTAAAGAAAAATGTTAAATACAGGTAGGATGAAGGGGGATGACAGAATTGGAGAATGTGGTATGTGTTGGAGGTTGGATGTGGCCCTGATGGAAAAGGTGTATGGGAGTAAGTGAAATTTGGGAGTTGCTTCTCCAGCATTTCTCAGGTGTCTCAGTTATTTCTGCTTTATCTGCAGAACTGACTTGTTTAACAGGTGTTTCCTGAGCATCTGCTTTGTGCAGAGAAGTGTCCTGAGAATATGAGGAGAAATCTGGTGTTCTCCACCTTGTCTAAGGTAGGGGAGAGGACATGTGTTGATGTGGCTACTAGTGTGAGTGTATGATGGTAAATGCTGTCAGAGCAAGTGGCCAGGATGTCTTTGCCCATGAGGAAGGGGAGGTCATCTCTAGCTGGGGTCTTGAGGCCTTGGCTCAAACTAATGTTTTTACAAAACTACATGTCTTTCTCCCTTCTATCTTGAATCTCTCTTCCTAAATCTCCATCAGTTTTGGTGGGAGAAGGGACTGTCGTTTGTAGGCATTACTCTGAGAAGGACTGTGTCCAAAAGGAAGTCACGTTCATCCTCAGAAGACAGTGGCTCCCAGAGTTCCTCATCTAGCACACCTGTGTTTAGTTGGATATTTACTTAATTGTTTTGAGTCCCAGGTTCTTCTTTATTGATGATAGTGAAGCCCAGTATCCTTCCTGCTTCATTAGACAGCATATGTAAGAGACATTTATGATGTACATTTGTACATCCATATTATTTTCATTCTTATTAGTATTTGAAATACTGATGGTTAATGATTTTGAGTGCATTTTAGGTGTTTAATTCTTTTTTTCTCTTTTTTTCCCCCTAGGTCTTGATGCAGAACTTTATTATGTGAGAAATGACCTTATTAGTCACTATGCTCTATCCTTTAACCTGTTAGTACCCAGTGAGACAAATTTCCTGCACTTCACTTGGCATGCAAAGTCCAAGGTAAGAGAGTGGTCAACCAGAGATGCCAAGACAGGACCACTCAGGCCCAGAGGCCGATGCAAGGGCTGTATCTGAGGGATGGGCTGCCGTCTGTGTAAAAGGGTCTGTGGGTGGTGGGCTGTGGCAGTACTGGGTCTTTTCAGATTTATGTTTTAAATCTTTAGCCTGTTCTTTTTTTTTCTTTGTTAAAGATTTTATTTATTTATTTGGCAGAGAGAGAGAGCACAGCAGGGGGAGTGGCAGGAGAGGGACAAGCAGACTCCCCACTGAGCAGGGAGCCTGATGTGGGGCTCGATCCCAGGATCCTGGGATCATGACCTGAGCCAAAGGCAGATGCTTACCTGACTGAGCCACCCAGGTGCCCCTCTTTAGCCTATTCTGTTAGACTTTCTCAAGTCCTTTAAAATGAAGGTAGCCATCATTTATGTGACTAGCTAATGACAAAACACTTACATCCTTTCAGGCTTTTCAAGGAGGGATGCAGATCTAGTTTGAAGAGGGAACAGTTGGACCTGCTAATGACTGCTGTTACTGTGAACTGATAACAGTAGAAGATGGGGAAGTGGGCTAGGTGTTTTGGACATGTTTGATATAATGGATACAGGTCTGCCATTTATAGAGAAATGGTAAAAGTGGGATACAACAGATGCAGGCACCCATGTGTGCTGAGGCTAAGCTCCTTTAACAGTAAGGGACCTTCTGCCTGGCTTACTTGTTGCTAAATTCTTCACATTTTCTCTGACTGACTCCATGAACATAGGTTTTCTCATAGGTCAAAGAATGGGGGCTGAGGGTAGAGCCCACCTCCTCCAATCAACTTTAATTTCTTTTATTAGCATTATAATAAACAATAGGATTTTATTTGGGAAATAAAAATAGTTTTGCTACTAAAATCTCTTCGAGTTTTTTTTTTTTAAGTATTATAAAGTGGTGTCTGTCCTGACATTTGTGGCAAAGTCGTTTAAATTTGATGACTTTAACAAGATCTTTTTATCTACTTAGAAAACAGTAAAGAATATTAGGAAAATTCAAGTATTAATAGAATTGTTTTTACAACTATTGAGACTTTGTAGATCTATACCCCAAAGTAATCATTGTTTATAGTTTGGTATACTTCAAACTCATTTTTTTAAAAATCTTTTTAAACAAAAAGGGGATTTTATCATACCTATATTGTACAACATTTTTCCCCTTACTAATACTGTATTTCGGCATCTTCCCATTTCTCTACTTGTAGATTTAACTCATTTTCTTTAATGGCCTTATAGTATGATATTATATGGATATATGATTATTTCTTAAGGGCCTCACTGACTCATGGATTTTTGATAGCATTTCACTATTTCAAACAATGCTTCCTTTCACTGTTAGAGATAGTTTCCTTCAGTTCATCTGGCAGGCAAAATCCATGGCACAGGGATAGGGAAAACAGTTGGTAGTTCATCTTTTGTTGATGTTTCTTCCTTTGTTATTGATGAATATAGAAACAGAAAAAATATGTGTGCAAATGTGTACCTGGATATATGTATGTATGTATGTGTATGTATATATAGGTATATATGTGTGTCTGTATACATGCATTGAGAAATTTTTGTGCACTTGTGGAATTATTTTTGAGTAGTAAGTTATCACCAAGTAGTGAAATGGCAGGGTCAGAGTGTGCATGTTTAAAATTTTGGTTGATATTGCCAAATTATTTCTCCCTTCCCTCTCCCAAGATGGTAGCAATGAACCAGCGTTCCTTGCCAAGTGAATAGGGGTGCTTATTTCTTCAATTCACTTATTTTTTTTTTTAAAGATTTATTTATTTATTTGAGAGCGAGAATGAGAGAGCATGAGAGGGGGGAGGGTCAGAGAGAGAGAGGCAGACTCCCTACTGAGCAGGGAGCCCGATGCGGGACTCGATCCCTGGACTCCAGGATCATGACCTGAGCCGAAGGCAGTCGCTTAACCAACTGAGCCACCCAGGCACCCTTCAATTCACTTATTAACACTAAATATTTTAAGTATAGTTGTTTGCTAATCAGATGAGTAAAAATGATTATATAACTACCCATATATTCATATTATTATTACAGTTGATCCTTGAATAATGTGGGGGTTATGGGATACTGATGCCCCCCTGTAGTCGAAAATTCATGTATAACTTTTGACTCCCCCACACTTAATCACTAATGGTCAAATAACACATATTTTGTATGTTATTATATACTGTAAATCTTACAATAAAGTAAGCTAGAGATAAGAAAATGTTAAGAAAATCATAAGGAAGTGAAAATCCATTTACGGTATTACACTATAAAAAAAAAAATCCATGTAAATGGACCTGTGCAGTTCAAACTGGTGTTATTCAAGGATCAACTATATATATATATATACTCAAGCATACATTACAGAAACATTATACACACATATTCATACAGGCATTAAAATATAGCTGCAGTAATGCGATTAAAGTTGACTTAGCTTGGATTCTGGGTAAAACATGTGCCTTGTCTGGAGCACCTCAACTATCCAACATTGTTGCCTTGGGGTATCCAAATATGGGCCTGCTTTTTTAGTGGTGGATTCATCTTTAGGGTAAAACCTGCAAAAACAGAGGTCAAGAGAGAAAATTCATGTGAAACAATTAAGAACATTTAGTAAATGGTAACCTGGATATGCTGAAGTGCCAAAAGATACAGATAATTCAGAAAAGGTTCACATGAGACATTTTAATCTGAGATATGTCAGTTTCAATGAGTAGGCACCTGAACTCTTCAAAGAAACTGCACTAACACATTTTCCAGTATTCTTATATAACATTATGTGACATTATTTAGGGGTGGGGGTAGCTTTTAATTTTGATATAAGTTCCAACATAAAAATTACAAGAATAGTACAAAGAATTCTCCTATATCGTTTACCCAGATTCACTGATTATTACTGGTTTGCTTCATTTGCTTACTTTATCATTCATTCTTTCTCCCCACCCTCAGGCACACACACTTTTTTTCTCGAACTGTATGAAATGAATTGCAAGCATCCTGTCCCTTTAGCCTTAAGTACATCAATTTATATGTTCTCAGAATAAGGGCATTCTTTACATAACCAGAGTATAGTGATCAAAATCAGGAAACTTAACATTGATACAATACTATTATCTAATGTATAGTATTCACATTTCATCAGTTATTCTGATGATGTTCTTTATAGGTCTTTTTTTATTTGATTCAGGATCATGCATGCAGTTGGTTGATGTACCTTTAGTCCTCTATTAATCTGGAACATTTCTTTGGCCTTTTTTCGTGTGTCTTGACCTTGATATTTTTGAAACACAGTGTCCCTCAATTTGAGTTGTCTGAGGTTTCCTCATGATTAGATTCAGGAATGTCTCTTTGCTAGTAACACCCCAAAAAAGCTGTCCTTCACAGTGCACATGGTATCAGCTTATCCCATTACTGGTGATCTCTGCTCACTCAGTTCACTAGGTTCCTCCACTGTGAAGTTTTCTCCTCTATAATGAGTAAGTAATTGTGGGGAGATTTTGTGAAATCATATTTTAAAAATTCCATTCTTTATCATGCTTTCAACTGCTAGTTTCTGCATCTGTGTTTAGAATTAGTTTTCACTTTTTAGCCAGTGCTGTTGAAGAGATTTGTATGTTCCCTCTCACTGGAAGAGGTCAGATCCACATTCGGTAAATATTAGGTGGGAGTATTGTAGAAGGAATGGGAATTCAAGCATTTGTGGAGTAGCTGGTCTTGAATTTTAAGTTCCCTTGCTACTCTGAGATCCAGTGTTTCTGTGAACATCTTTCAGGCAGAGAAGCTTCTTATATTCTCCAAAAAATTGATACTTAATCCTTTGTTACTTTTCCTACTTTTAATGCTGATGAATATAAAAACACAATAATACATATATTTTGAAGTAGTGAAAAATCTAATGAAATAGAGAATCTACTATTCTGTTGACCTTGAATAGGGTGTGATTATTTCTGGACCCACTTAGGAAAAAATAATGATACATCATGCGAATGGTTCCTGGGCAATTATATGGATAGTGACTTGTGAATAAAAAGGCAGTGTGGCATGTGGCAGTTGTAATTGAACAGAATTCAACCTTCTCTTAACCTTTCCTTTTTAAAAATACACATACATTGGATGTTTTTATTTGGAGTGAGTTTCAGGGATCTGATATTGCTGATAGTGGATGTCTGAGGAATTTTAGGAGCCTGCCACAGGAGGAAGTTGGAGTGGAGGAGAGTAGAGAGAGGAAAGGGTTCAGATGAATATACATATTTGAAAGGGTTCAGATGAATATATGTACTTGTACTGGCCTAGGCACAGCGTGGGTCAGGAGGCGCCCTGGTATAGCTCTATGGTCCTTCTAAATTCTTAATGAATAATTTCTAAACTACTTCTGTGGCAGGTTTTAAATACCATCCTTAGTGCACATTTGAGCTACTATTGCTGGTATGATATTCCTGGTAAGGCGGAAAGAAGTTCCCTGACTTGTTGGAGGGCGTCACCACCTATTTACACATCTAGCCAGAATCCTAGGGGGGGGCTATACTTCTTCTCCTACACCTACCAAGTCCAGTTGATTATCTCTCATAATTATACCTTAAATTCATCTCCTACCTCTTTCTGGACCTGATGCCCCATCTGTAGTTTGGGCCTTCATTGTTTCTTAACGAGATATGGAAATAGTTTTCTAACTGGTCTCCTTGCCTCTGGACTGACTTCTTGCTGCACTGCTGCCGCACCTCACCCCCCACCCTCTGCCCCCCAAAACTACTCCAGGGCTCTCAGTTGCCACCAGAATAAAGTTCTGATTTCCTAGGAAGCCTTTATGATCTTGTTTCTGCCTTTCTTTTCTACTTCCTCTTCAGCTAGTTGTTTAGTGCCATTTTGTTTTGCAATGTTTTGAATGCTCTGGACTCTGTTACATTGCTGCTGTTTGCACTGCTAGAAATGCCCTTTCCCCATTCTTTATCTCTTGAACTCCTGTTCATCTCA